GCGGTGCCTCCGCCCACGCGAGGTAGGGCCTGAGGGGCGGGGCCGGTCGCGAGGCCTCGGGAGGGGCCGGCGGGAGGCCGCTCTCGGGCGGAGCGGCTGCGCCCGGGAGGGGAGTGCGGGCCGCGAACTAACGGTCACGAACGCTGGCGGCGCCGCGCGACCCACGTGCGCCACCGCGCCCAGAGACCCGGGCACCCAGCTCCGCGGCCGCGTCCCCGCGGAGGGCAGCCTATCCGTTTTTCCTGTGGGCGACCCCGTGCCCGGCGCGGGGAGGAGCGTGACAGCGCTGGGCGCCGCCCCCTCGGCGCGGCTCGGCAGGAGGCCCCCGGGTCGCGGCGGGGAAGAAGCGGTGCGTGCTCCCCCTTGGAGACCGTGGGACCACCCGGGCAGAAGGCGCCCTCGGTGTCCCCTGAAAGGCGGAGGGCGGGCTAGCGGGGACCGCGAGTCCCGGGCGGACCCCGCCTGTTTGTCTCCCAGTTAGAAATCGGCCTTAGACAAGATGGAAGGGGAGAAGCGGCCGGCGCCCTACGAGGGCCTGTTTGCCGACGGGCACCTGATCCTGTGGACGCTGTGCTCGGTGCTGCTGCCCGTGTTCATCACCTTCTGGTGCAGCCTCCAGCGGTCCCGCCGCCAGCTGCACCGCCGGGACATCTTCCGCAAGAGCAAGCACGGGTGGCGCGACACGGACCTGTTCAGCCAGCCCACCTACTGCTGCGTGTGCACGCAGCACATTCTGCTGGGCGCCTTCTGCGACTGCTGCGGGCTGCGCGTGGACGAGGGCTGCCTCAAGAAGGCCGACAAGCGCTTCCCGTGCAAGGAGATCATGCTTAAGAGTGACGGCAGGGCCCTGGACGCCATGCCCCACCACTGGATCCGGGGCAACGTGCCCCTGTGCAGTTGCTGCGTGGTTTGCAAGCAGCAGTGCGGCAGCCAACCCAAGCTCTGCGATTACAGGTACGGCCTTTGTGGGTACACGTTGTCCCAGGATGCGGGGTAGGAGTCGGGATCTCGCAGAGTGCGCTAGAGACCTACCTTGATCTCTGCAAATGGCCTCAACTGCCCGCTTCAAGGAACCAAGCTTGTCCCGGGTATTGGACAAGCAGGGCAGCTTTGCAGTATCATTTGCCTAGATGATACATCTAGCCTCCGCTCTTCAGCCAGCCTGCCCTTTTGGGTAATAAAACTTGGCACTGAACTTTGATCCAGAGGCCTCTAAGTACTGCATACTTCATAGCCACCATGTTACGTTTTCGCTTTTGTTACTATGGATTATTTCCATTTTAAGTGAGAAAAAACGAAGTGTGGACAAATTGACTTTTCCTTAGACTCGCAAAACTGATTCTCCTCAGCATCCTTTTATGAATGGACAGTGAAAACAAGCATCATTCCATGGCAGCGCTTTAATTATCTTTTTCAAATATAGATATTGGTGCTGTGATGAAAGACAAAACTTAAAGGATTCTCCTTTTGCCACATGGCCTTCTTAGGACTGGTAGCATCTTAGACAGTCTTGGATTAAGCCAAGAATATTTTGATGGCTTCTAAATAGACATACATTAGACAACACATGAACATTCTTAAATATTCTCTGAAAATAGGTGAAGATGCTCTTTGCTGGTATTAGAGATTCATAATAAAAGGAGATGCTGCTCCCGCAGATCATCTGCTTTAACTCATTTTGCAGTTGAGCGAATTTTAGTCAGTGTTAGGAATAGTGTTAGGAATACTAACACTTAGCCTTGTCTCAGCCTTAAGTCTGGACATCTCCATTGTCCTGAGTTTTATTTCTGACAAGTAGAAAGGGCCCTAAACATGTTTAAGACCTAAAAGAGAAAGCTGACACTAGATAGAAAATTACTTTTTTATTTATTTCCATCTTTATTTTTTTCTTTTACTTCAAAATCTTCTTTTTAATTTGTCTTCCGAATTTAGATGTACTTTTGGCATCAATGAGAGCTAGGTTACCAGCGTCTTTAAATAAATTTAATACCTCTCTCTATAGTTAAGCTTTCGTCTTCAAAAGCTGGGATTAGTTGGAAAGAAGACATGACTGGCATATTATTTCCTTCCCTTCTTGGTGTCTGTGTAGAATTAGATAAAAACGGCCTCCATAAATATCTGAACTGCACTTCAGATACTCCTTAATGAATAATAGTGCTCTGATCTTCCACCCAAATGATTTTACTTAGAAATGAGTATCTGGGGGCGACTGAGTGATTCAGTTAAGCGTCTAGCTCTTGATTTCGGCTCAGGTCACGATCTCACGGTCATGGGATCAGGCCCCACATCTGGCTCTGCGCTAAGGGTGGAAGCCTGCTTGGCATTCTCTCTTTCCCTCTCTCTCCCGCATTCTCTGCCCCTCCCCCACTCATTCTCTCTCTCTCTCTCTCTCTCTCTCTCTCTCTCTCTCAAAATAAACATTAAAACAAAAAAGTGGGGCGCCTGGGTGGCTCAGTTGGTTAAGTGTCAGGCTTCAACTCAGGTCACAATCTCACAGTTGGTGAGTTTGAGCCCCTCATTGGGCTCTCTGCTGTCAGTGCAGAGCCTGCTCCGGAGCCTCTACCTACCTCTCTGCCACTCTCTCTCTCTCTCAAAAATAAATAAGCACTTTTTTAAAAATTGCATTTGCACCAAAAAAAAAAAAAAAAAAGCATATCTGACCCAGTCCCTCCTCTGCTTAATTAAACCCCTACCCCTTCAGTTGCTCCTGGTCACTTACCCTGATGGTCTTTCAGTGTAACCTTCAGGTGCTTAACATGGTGCCCAGGGGCTGACGTGCTCTCTGGACCCTGCCTGCCCTTCCAGTTTTTACCTGCCACCACCTTCGTTAAACTTTAAGAACCAGCAACACTGGCTTTTTCATATTTACCTTCTCTTTCTCAAGGCTTTCCTCCCCTGGCTAGCTTTTAGGCATCCTTAGAGACTTGTCTTGTGTCCTTTCCTCCAGGAACCCTTGCCTGATCTACTCATCCCCAGGCCCAGAGTTTTCCTTTTTGATGATGACGTAATATCCGATATCTCAGTGGTTCTCAAAGTAGGTTCCCCAAACCAGCAGTATTAGCATCATTTGGAAACTTGTTAGAAATGCAAATTCTAGTGTTGCCAGATTTAGCAAACAAGACAAAAACATTTGCAATATTGCGGCCAGCTTATATCCCCCCCAAATCATTCGCTGTTTATCTGAAGTTGAAATTCAGTTAAGCATCTTCTATTTTCTTCGTGTACTCCCACCTCCGACCCCCTGAATCAGAAACTTAGGCTGGAGAGGAGCAGTCTTTGCTCTGGCAGGCCCTGCAGGTAATTCTAAAGTTGTATGTACCTTTTACAACATCAGCCTCTGTCCTTAATGTTGTGTCCTCCCCTTTGTACACAGTGAATGTGATGATACATCTTTTTCTCACGAGTTCTTACCAGATACTCAACAGTCTGTCCTCAGCTTGCTAGAGCCCCTCACCACGGGTGGGGATTGTTTCTGTGTAATTTAGGAAATGCTTGTTACTCCCAGGAGAAAAGAGCATGGCGCCCTGAAGTTGTGCGTGTTCTGCAGTGTTCTCCTGTATTTTAGCAATAGCATTATGCAGGGTTACTGAATGCTCTGACCTTCCATAGGAATGAGATATTTCAGGAAAATAAACTATCTATTAGAACTTTAAACACAAGCCAGACCGTCCCTCTGGATTTTACCCAGCCCTGGCGAGGGCTTCTACCATGTCTGTATCACTACAGAAGTATGAGTCTTAAGGGAAGTATAAAGACCCAGGTAACAACTGATTTTGAAGGTTGCGGGCCAGTTCAGCTCTGCCGAATAAGTGACAGAGGCCCTTTAATTTATACTCATTCAGTCTTGATTCAGTTTTCACACGGTGAGCATCTATGTATTTTGTTTCAGGCGCTGTGCCAGATTCTACTTTACCTGTAGGTTTCTTTCTCTTCGTGTATATTTCCCCAACCACTATAATGTGTCTCTGCACCTAGTATCGTATCACTCCTTCCCTGTCCTTCCTTTTTTTCTTAACTGTCACCTGACTAAAATGGGGAATTGTGTTGTAAGTATTCATTATATTTGTTAAATAAACCTTTGTTCCTTATAGTAATCCATCTCTTGTTAAGAAAACTTAAGGTGTTTTTTTTTATTTTTTATGTTTATTTATTTTTGACAGAGAGAGAGAGAGAGAGAGAGAGAGAGAGAGAGAGAGACACAGAGCATGAGCGGGGGAGGGGCAGAGAGAGAGGGAGACACAGAATCTGAAGCAGGCTCCAGGCTCCGAGCTGTCAGCGCAGAGCCCAACACGGGGCTCGAATTCACAGACCGCGAGATCATGACCTGAGCCGAAGTCGGACGCCCAACCGACTGAGCCACCCAGGCGCCCCCTTAAGGTGCTTTTTTATTTATAAGGCTTTTTCTTCCTTACATCCTATCCTCTTACACACACTGATTAATGAAACAAAGCTTTCTTCGTTACATCCTATGTAAGAAAAGCTTCCAAAGCTTTTCTTCCTTACATCCTATGCCCCTTACACACACTGATTAATGAAACAAAGCTTCTGACTTTTAGCAGGTGATTACATTGGCCACTTTAGTCTTGACTTTGATCTTAAACTGTATGTTTCTGTGTTCTGTTGGTATGTATTTATTCATTTCTTTAATTATCTGAAATGATGAAAGATCCCAGATCATTTTTTTTAATTTTCTTTTAACGTTTTTATTTATTTTTGAGACAGACAGAGACAGAGCATGAACGGGTGAGGGGCAGAGAGAGAGGGAGACACAGAATCGGAAGCAGGCTCCAGGCTCTGAGCCATCAGCCCAGAGCCCGACGCAGGGCTCGAACTCACGGACTGCGAGATCGTGACCTGAGCCGAAGTCGGACACTCAACCGACTGAGCCACCCAGGCGCCCCTCCTAGATCATTTTCTAGAGTAGAGGTGGACAACCTTTCTATGAAAAGCCAAAACTAAGTATTTTAGGCTTTGCAGACCATATGGTCTGTCATAACTACTTAACTCACTGTCTGTCATGGTACAAAACCAGCCCTAGACAACACATAAATGACTGGGTGTAGCTGTACTACAATAAAACTTTATTCACAACGTCAGGTGGCAGACGTATTTGTAGTTGGCCAACCCCAGTTATGGTGTGAATATCATAAATGAACACCCCGAGGCACCTGGGCGGCTCCGTTGGTTGAACGTCCAACTTCAGCTCAGGTCATCGTCTCACGGTCCGTGGGTTTGAGCCCCGCGTCAGGCTCTGTGCTGACAGCTCGGAGCCTGGAGCTTGCGTCGGATTCTGGGTCTCCCTCTCTTTGTCTGCCCTTCCCCAGCTCACTCGCGTACTCTCTCTCTCAAAAATAAACAAACATTTAAAAACTTAAAAAATAAATAAATAAATGAACATCTCAACCTCATGTATAGTTCTGCCACCTCCTCTAGCATACTAAAGAAGAGAGCTATCGTGAACAGGTAACTTAACAAAGAATTCTAAGAAGTGTTGCCTGTAGTTTCTTTTTTCCCCTGTGAAGCTTCTTCTTTAAAAAATAAAGCAGTCAGGGGCACCTGGGTGGCTCAGTCAGTTAAGCGTCCGATTCTTGATTTCAGCTCAGGTCATCATCTCACAGTTTGAGGGTTCGGCCCCCACATCAGGCTCTGCTGTCAATGCAGAGCCAGCTAGGGATTCTCTCTCCCTCCCTCCCTCTGCCCCTTTCCCATTCTCTCTCTCTCTCCCTCTCCCTCAAAATAAATATACATTAAAAAAAATTTTTTAAATAAAGCTATCATACACCTGCATAAAAATGGCACATAGGGTGATGTTCTGTCTTGATAAAGGTTTTAGTTATAGGAAAATGTTCATTTGTCAAAACTCAGCAAATGTACAGATTTGTATATTTAATTGTAAATTTTACACCAAAAGAAAAATCCCATAAATAAATGATGAACTCTAGATAAAGATAGGCTTGCTTGCTGAACTATTTAGGAAGTATCCTGATAGCTGCATTCTACTTGAAATACACCAAAAATTAGGTGGATTGATGGATGGATAGAAATGTAACAAAGCAACTATAGGAAGATATTAATGCTGGAATGTAGGTGGTTTACTGTTTATCTGTTTACTGTAAAAAAAAAAATTCTAACACAAAACATTTTAAAAAGCAAGGAGACTCCTTGTTTTTTGGAAATCCTTGTTGAAATATTGAAAGATAAAATCTCATAATGTCTGTAATACTTTCAAACGATTTAGCTATATGTGAGTTTACACAAAGAGATAAAGCAAATGTGGGAAAAAATATCAAGAATCAGAGTGAAGGGTTGATTTAAGGGTATTCACTTTGCTATTCTTTTGACTTCTGTGTAGGTCTAAAATGTCACAAACATAAGCAATGAGTCAGTGACGTGATCGCTGGAACTAAAATATCAAGACATTATATTAGTAATGTCTTGTTTTCCCATCAGGTTTGAAATCTAGATCAGGTTAAACACTAATTACAAAACACATAGAGACAATTCTCAATTATGAATATAGTATTTGTAAGGAAAAGTATAATGTTGAATAACTAGTAAGCATTTTGGCTCTACCTTTAAAGAACAAAGGCTGATAATAGCCATCATTTTAGCTAAAAGAATCTTTTCTGAAATGTATGAGAATGCAGTAAATGATAAAGGTGTCCCAAGTCAGTGGGGATAGAAAAGATTGTTTTACGAATGGTGCTAGGACAGGTATTCTCTGGGGGGGGAAAGTGAGGTCTTCAAACCACACTATCTGCCACAATAAACTCCAAATGGGTGAAAGCAAGGGCCCTTAGTTCACAGATGGATAAGATTCCAAGAAACCCTGACCCTTTCAGGAGATTTTCAGTGGAGCCTGTAGCCCCGGAAGAAGCACTAAATTAAAGACATGGGTGTGAAAACTGAATGGGTGGGAATTTGCAAATAGTGAAGGACTTCAGAGCTTAAAAGCATTTAAGTAAACCCCAAAGGGAAATAGGGAGCTATCAAAAAATAAACTTAAGTACATTAAAAAGTAAATTTAAAAGAAACCAAAAGAAGTTTGCAATAAATATGACAGGAAAGAGGTTAATATCCCACATAAATCAAAAGTGCATGCAATTATTAAAACCTAGTAAAAGGTGACTATAGGACATGAATCCATTCACAGAAGACAAAAAATATTCAGCATCCCCTAGTGATCAAAAGCCTTCAAATTAAAACAAAAAAATGTGTTTTTTATCAAGGAAAAAATTTAAAATACTAACGTGCAGGATTAGCAAGTGTCAGACATGATAGACGTCTCGATGAACTGGTAACAAGCACACTGGACAGATGGACCACATACTGGTTACTGTGAAACTAATGTCCGTGTTATGTGTCAACTGTACTCAAAAAAAATATTAAAAAGAAAACAGTCTTAGGAAAATGCATGCCCTTTGAGTCAGTAACTTGGCTTTTAGAATTCAAGGGAAATAATCTCATTTATGTTTATGGTTGTTCTTCATGTTGTTTATACTTAGAAAAATAAGCTATCTAAATGTCTTAATTTTAGGGGCACTTGGCTGGCCCAGTCAGTTAAGCGTCTGACTCTTGATTTCATCTCAGCCATGATCTCCAAGTTCATGGGATCGAGCCCCATCTGGCTCCACACTGACAGTGCGGAGCCTGCTTGGAATTCTCTCTCTCTCCCCCTGTCTCTCTGCCCCTCCCCTGCTCCCACTCTTTCTCTCTCTCTCTCCCTGTCTCTCTCTCTCAAAATAAAAAAGTAAAACTTTAAAAATTAAAAAATAATAAATGTCTTATTTTTTTAATGTTAAATTATATATTCATATGGTATGGTACTATATATTCTTTACAAACTATATTTTTTTAAATGTTTAATGGCATAGGACAACGTTCATGATAACATGGAAAGAAAAGTACTTTCCAGATGTACATATATCATAACGAGAAACACATCTATGCACAGTAAAACTGAGAAATACAGGGTTGCCCGAGTTGCTCAGTTGGTTGAGCATCCGACTTCGGCTCAGATCGTGATCTCATGGTCTGTGAGTTCGAGCCCCGCGTCGGGCTCTGTGCCAACAGCTCAGAGCCTGGAGCCTGTTTCCGATTCTCTGTCTCCCTCTCTCTCTGATCCTCCCCTGCTTATGCTCTATCTCTCTCTGTCTCTCAAAAATAAATAAATGTTAAAAAAAAAAAACCTGAAAAGTACAGCAAAAAGTTAAGATTTATTGTCTTTGGATGATTTTTATTTAATGTCTCTTTGTATTTTCTAAATTCTCAAGTATATGCTGATATTATCTTACTGAAAATGTATTTTTAAAAATGTATGTAGGTAGTTGACGAATGTATTCTGGTTTTTAGAGACTCAAGCAGTACAGCAATACAGAAGGACATAGGATAAAAAGCAGATATTCTTCTCAGCCCTCTCATCCTACTTTTCTTCCCAGAGGAAACCAGTGTGAAATAATTCAGGGGCACCCTTTCAGATTATTCTCAATTACAGTCCCTTGTTGTAAAGTTAATGGTGTGGTCTCAAGCTTAGTCTGAAAGGAACTATTCACTAAACATATGCAAGTTACTTTACAGTTTTCTGTCTAATGGATCATGCAGGTAACACTTCTTTCAGGGGTAAATAAGACTCCTGAGTAAATAGCAGTAATCAGTTGAGAAATCTGAACATCCACCGGAAAAAACAACCTTAAAATAGAAATCCAAAAGGGTTGACCTTGGGCAAAAGACTTTTATTCTGTCTCTTTTTTTTTTAATTCATTTATTTTCTGCCGGCCTGCTTTTGTCTGTGCACTCAGCTCTGCCTGCCTTATCTGTGACTGGATTAAAGTCTTAGCAGATTAATAATAGAAGCCTGGGACCTTCACCAGCACTATTCTCTGCTTGTTTCACGCTCATATCCAGAGAGGCGAATCTGAATGTACATATCTTCTGTCTATATTTCAAGTACAAACAGAGATTGGTTTTGTATTAACTGCCGACAAGAAATGCACTGTTTGGCTATATCTACTGAAATATTTTCAGATGGTCATAAATTACGAGGTTTTCAAACTGGACAGACTGGACCCCGAGGAACACAAAGACCCAAGCCAGTGGGGCATTTAATTAAGCAGCAAGGACTTTAGGCCTCACAAACATTATTTCAACCAAAGCACAAATAATTAAGATACAGAACCATTGTTCTAGACCCACTCTTGTTTATGTGGATATGTCTACTGGCATTTACCATGTTATAAATTAAAACTGGGAAATTGCTTAAATACTCATTTTTAAAGTGATAAAATATTTTTATGAAAATTTAGTGAGAAGAGTGACATTATTCTACCTTTTTGGTACATTTCTTTGGTTTAGAGGCCACCTAGATCCTCCTGTCGGCTGCTGCACTGGGTCTGTACACACTTGAGAGAAGGAAGATGAAATAACATCTTGGTATTAATATTAAAATGATTTTAATCTCAGAGTCGCCCTGCAAGGGTCTTGAGGGGCTCCAGACCATACTTTATTTTTCTTTTAACGTTTTTTATTTATTTTTGAAAGCGCGATCACAGAGAGAGAGGGACAGAGGATCTGAAGCTGGCTCTACACTCGTAGAGCCCCATGTGGGGCTGGAACTCACAAACGGCGAGATCATGACCTGAGCCGAAGTCGGATGCTCAGCTGACTGAGCCACTCGGGTGTCCCTAGACTACACTTTAAAAATCACAGTTAAAGGGGCGCCGGGGTGGCTCAGTCGGTTGAGCGTCCGACTTCAGCTCAGGTCACGATCTCGCGGTCCTTGAGTTCGAGCCCCGCGTCGGGCTCTGGGCTGATGGCTCAGAGCCTGGAGCCTGCTTCCATTCTGTGTCTCCCCTTCTCTCTGCCCCTCCCCTGTTCATGCTCTGTCTCTCTCTGTCTCAAAAATAAATAAAATGTTAAAAAAAAAAATCAAAAAAAATAAAAATCACAGTTAGGGGCACCTGAGTGTCTGACCCTTGATTTCAGCTCAGGTCATGATCCCGGGGTCATGAGATCGAGCTCTGCATCAAGTGCTTCACTGAGCATGGAGCCTGCTTACGATTCTCTCTCTCCCTCTTCCTCACCCCTCCCCTGCTCGTTCTCTCTCTCTCTCCCTCCCTCTCCCCATCCCCACTCTCTCTCACTTTCTAAAAAATAAAAATCCAGTTATAGAGGCTCCTGAGTGGCCTGAGTGGCCTGAGTATCCAACTCTTGATTGCAACACAGGTCATGATCCCAGGGTCAGGAGATCGAACCCTGCGTCCAGCCCTGCGCTGAGCATGGAGCCTGCTTGGGATTCTCTCCCTCCCTGTTTTCTCTGCCCCTCCCCTGCTCCCATGTGTGCAAGTGAGCTCTCTTTCAAAGTAACATTTTTTTTTTTTAAGTTCTAAAAAACGCTATTAAACTGCCAAGTATTTTCAAACTTTATTGCTCATTTTCACTGTGCAGATAGTTATAAATCTTTTCTTTGCTAGATTTTATGCCCAATAGTGGTGCGATTACTAAAGGATCAGTTTGCACATCAGTGAAATTATGGTTTAAGATTAATTATTGTCTTTGTTTCTTCCTTCCCTCAGGTGCATTTGGTGTCAGAAAACGGTACATGATGAGTGCATGAAAAATAGTTTAAAGAACGAAAAGTGTGATTTTGGAGAATTCAAAAATCTCATCATTCCACCAAGTTACTTGACCTCTATTAATCAGATGCGTAAAGACAAAAAAACAGATTATGCGGTGGTAAGCCAAGTTCATTTTTCCTTATGTAATTGATTTTCACAAAGCTGCCCGAGTCCCTGTGTGACACTTAATGGTGGCCTTGAGGGAAGAATCGTTACCGTGGGCTGCAGAGCCCTGCCCAGTGTTTAGAGCTGTGCCACCAAGTTCGGCCCTTGAGTCCTTTCACATCTAAAGGGAAATTGGAGGGGCGCCTGGGTGGCGCAGTCGGTTAAGCGTCCGACTTCAGCCAGGTCACGATCTCGCACTCCGTGAGTTCGAGCCCCGCGTCGGGCTCTGGGCTGATGGCTCGGAGCCTGGAGCCTGTTTCCGATTCTGTGTCTCCGTCTCTCTCTGCCCCTCCCCCGTTCATGCTCTGTCTCTCTCTGTCCCAAAAATAAATAAAAAACGTTGGAAAAAAAAAATTTTAAAGGGAAATTGGAAATGTTATATTACTGGTTTCTAAATCCCTGCCTGCACCTGCATCACTTGGGGAGCTTTTTAAAAATGCAGATTCCTGACTCCACCTCCATCACCAGGTTTGATTAGGAGGTCGAGGGTAGGTCCCAGGAATCTGTATTTTTCTTTAAGGTCCTCAGACAATTCTGATAAACAGCCAGATTGGAAATTCTTTATCATTATCAGTGAAAAGAAAACAGGGATTTTGCTCACACATTGTTCTAACAGAATTTTTCTATTCGGAACTTTATGTCATTTAGAGCATTAGATGCTCCAACAAATAATTTGAACTTTAAAGCTGTCAACACTTCGCAGCATGTATGTGTGTAGAAACTGATCTAAATGTATCTTTCAGTCTTTATGTGGTTCTTAAGGGATAACTGTAAAAATTTGCATTTATTTCCTACTTGAATATGCCAAAATAGTTGAACTATTTTATCTTGAAATTCAGTTTTGTGTCTTTTCCAAGTTAGGATTTTATTTTATTTTATTTTAGGGTTTTATATCTTAAATGTCATCTTTGACAGTAGTCCTGCCAAAGAAAAAGGCATTTAAAAATTTTTAAATACTATGTTTAATGTTATGGTACATATTTTTTAAACGTACATACAGTGCCTTAATGTGTCTGATTTCAATCTAAGATCATAAGGGGTGAGAATCACTAAGTAAAACTGTAGAACATCATCTTTGTTCACATCCACAAGGAGAAGGGAGAGGAGAGAAAGGGTTAGGTTAGAGAAATACGAATTTCATTTGACTTTGGGCTTTCTATAAATCTGGATTCTTGAATTTAATTGAGTATACCATTTAAATGTTTTTTAAGTTAAAAAAAGAAAAAGCCTTACAAACTAAAATACATTAGAATATATCCAGAGAAGGACAGTCAAGGTAAGAGAGCAGAGAAAATCTGTGTCCATGCTGTGAACAGTTGAAAGGACGTAAAATGGATTGCCCAGGAGACGAAACTGAAGAAGGATACAATGCTTCAGGTGTTTGAGCACAACAGTTATATGGAAGAACAAATAACATTATTTCTGGTTGCCTTAGGAAGCAAAATTAGAATGATGAATGAAAGTTATTGAAACACAGATTTTTAACTCAATTTAAGTCAAAACTTTCTAACAATACATGAAGCGCGAATTAAATTATTCATCTATAAGTTCCCTTTCCATTCTTAGAATTCTTTGATTTATGTATTCATTGTAGTGTGATAGTTGTTTTTTTCCCAGCGTATTTACAGCACTATTGCTACCAAGAAATGAAAAATTTATTGCTGGAGCGCCTGGGTGGCTCAGTTGGTTGAGCATCTGACTTCGGCTCAGGTCATGATCTCACACACAGTTCCTGACTTTGGGCCCTGCGTCCGGCTCTGTGCTGTGTCAGCTTCAGATTCTGTGTCTCCTTCTCTCTCTGCCCCTTCCCTGCTCGCGCTCGTCTCTCTCTCTCGACAATAATAAACACTTCTTTAAAAAAGAAAAATTTATTGCTCACCATCTTTGAGATATTAAACCCTTTTCACTCGCATTAATTTTTTTAGCTAGCCTCTAAGCTTGGAAAGCAGTGGACCCCATTAATAATCCTGGCCAACTCTCGTAGTGGAACTAACATGGGAGAAGGGCTGCTGGGAGAATTTAGGATCCTCCTAAACCCAGTCCAGGTAACTAAAGAGAAAACTTTCCTTCTGTATTAATCTCATGCTTAGCTTTTCATTTTCCTTAAGTTGTAATGGTGGTTAATGCTTCAAACCAGTCATCACTTGATTTTAGGAAAGAATTATAAAAGTATCAAGCCATCCAAATATATAGAGAAAGAGGTACTCTCCTGGTGGGGACATAAAATGGTGCAGCCACTTTAGAAAAGTGAAGCAATTTCTTAAAAAGTTAAATATAAATTTACCCTACCACCTACCAATCCCATTTCTAGCAGTCTGCCCAAGGGAAGTGAAAGCATATGTCCCGCAGAGACTTTTATGCAAATGTTCATAGCAGCGATATTCATAATAGCCAAAAGGTGGAAACAACCTAACTGTCCATTCGCCAGTAAGTTGATAGAACCAAATGTGTACCCACACAAGGGAGTATCACGCAGTGATAGGAAGGGACCAGGTACGACGCATACGTGCAACCATGAACGAACCTCAGAACCATGCTAAGTGAAAGAAGCCAGGTGCAAGGACCCTCGGGGTATGTCCCTTTTATGTGACCTGTCCACAACAGGCAGATGTACAGAAACAGAGGAGTGAGGCCAGGGCTGCAGAATGGGAGTGAGTGCACCCAGACACTGAGGGACCCTCTCGGAGCAGTGAAAATGCTGTAGACTGGATTGTGGTGGTTGCACAGCTCCGTAAACTGACTAAAAGCCATTTAATTGTGCACTTTAAAAGCGCATTTCCATATATATAACTTGTGCCTCAGTTTAAACAAGAAGAATAAAAGGATGGCTGCATTGAGTTTACGTGCTGGCTGCTTCTACTTTGAAAAACATTTATAAACAACTCCTGCGACAGTCAGAAACGCAGTAATTTTTTTCCTTCCCATTTGTATTTTTCCCTTTCAACAATAGATACTTAAGGAAATTATAAAAGTAATAAAAAGGGAAAGAAAATCACCTGCAGTTTCCCCACACCAATACATCGGTTGTTTTCATTTGTCCGTGTTCTTTGCATGCATTGTCTGTGCATCTGCCTATTAACATCACAGTAACAATACTCTAGATTTAAAATTTGTGTTGTTTTCAGTACTTAAAGAGCATTTGTCCCTGGTGTGATGTAGTCTTCATAATTACACCTGAAATGATGAAGATAATTAATTGAATGGATATGTCCTGTTTATCCAGGCTCCTGCTGTTGGAGATTGAGTTTGTCTCATAATTATACAACCATAAATAATGCCACACTGAATACCTTTATAAACAGGCGTTTTCATTTTTTGAAATGTTTTCCTAGATCATTTACAGAATTAGAGGTATCAAGGGTCCTTGCATCTTTACATCATTGTATGTATGTTGCAAAATTACTTTCCAGAAGTGTGCACTAACTTGCACTAGTGATGGATTTGAAAAATCCACTATAAAATATGAAGCAATGTGCTAAGGGTGAACTTAGCACATTCTGGTTTCACGTGAACAGAAAGGAGGCAGTGTCGTGTAATGGATAGACTATAGGACTGAAGGTGTATGTCAACACTTAAGTATTGGGGGACTCACAGGCAAGTTATTTAACCTCCCTGCGCCTCAACTTCCTGGTCAGTAGAACGAGGCTTACTTGTGAGTAGGGCCAGCGTCCAGATGAGCCGCAGTATCAGCAGTCTGGCGCATCACTAGGCGCTTCGTAGCCCGCGTTGTTCTCTAACCGCATCCATACTTATCTGGGGGGACGTCATCCTCACAGATGGAGGATAGTGTTGGATACAAATAAGTTTTCTTTTTCTTTCACTTCTAGGTTTTTGATGTAACTAAAACCCCCCCTGTGAAAGCCCTGCAGCTTTGCACTCTCCTTCCCTGTCACTCGGCCCGCGTGCTTGTTTGTGGAGGGGACGGCACGGTGGGCTGGGTCCTGGATGCAGTCGACGAAATGAAGATTAAGGTATCAACCTTTAAGACCTGCGTGCCCTTCGCGGAAGCAGTTCCGAGATAACGGATACAGTATTACGGTTACATTTTTTTATTACGCAGATAAATATTAGAAGACATTGCCAATTTTGAACGTTATGATTAAGCAGTTCCTATAACCTTCAGCGAAACAACATACAGCTGTTATATTTGTGTCTCTCTTGCTTTGGTCTATAAGTTTTACCAAATAACATTACCCCACAAATCACCTGAAGAGAAAACTCCCAACACACGTCTTCCGTTTTCTAGGGACAAGAAAAGTACATTCCGCAAGTCGCAGTCCTGCCTCTGGGAACAGGCAACGATCTGTCCAATACCTTGGGCTGGGGCACAGGGTACGCGGGAGAGATCCCCGTCGCTCAGGTCTTAAGAAATGTGATGGAAGCAGATGGAATTAAACTAGATAGGTGAGTTTTACTTCCTCCAAAAGGTAGATTTCTGGAGCTTCGGTAATATTGTTTGGTCTAAAAATGAAGACTTGAAGTAGTTACAAAATGTAACTTAAATGTAAAAGACTGTGTGAATTGTACTCATCCACGATGCTGGGGTTTTGTTATGTTATATGAGGACTGAAGTCACCTTAGGTAGAGCACTCATCTCAAAATTTGTGTAGTCACTTAGGTGTGCTTATTTTTTCAAATGCTTTTTTAATAAAAGTACTTCATCTACAGGACTGCAAAGTTAAGTGGCAGTTAATTTGATAATAATTGCCTTTTTTTTTTAACTTCTGTATTTTAGATGGAAAGTTCAAGTAACAAATAAAGGATACTACAACTTAAGAAAACCCAAGGTATGTTTTCTGGGCCTCAGTTGCACGTGATTTCAGCACTCTTAACTAGTCCGTCATTTTATAGTGGATTTTTCAAATTCATCATGAGTGCAAGTTAGTGCCCATTTCTGGAAAGCAGTTTTGCTTTGTACACGTGTGGTGCAGCGGTGGGATACAGAGACGCGGTTCTCATTCCCTCTGGGGACCGGTTGTGGAGCAGAAGAGAAACCCACGTGCTCAGCCCCCAGTTGGCCTGTAAAGAGGGCTGTGGGGGAAAACACGTTGTGAGTGCGGGTAGCGCCTCCCTGGCAGATCGGGCTGGAGAGGTTTCGGGGGAAGAGATGGGTGAGGTGGCCCTTAAAAGGTAAACACAATTTAGATGGACAGAGAAAGGAACAAAAGACTTTCCAGGCAGATGAAATCGATCCTGGGGACACAAATCATGGTTAGCAAATACTGCGGAGATCAGCTCTGTGTTTTCTAAAAGATACTCTGGGGGTGGAGTGAAAATAGCCTTGAAGATTGCATGAGGGCAAAATACGGGGACTTTTAGCAGGAAGACAGCAAAAACATTGTAGAGGTGGAAGTGATCGACCCTTGGCAGCTCGGTAGTAGAGCAAGAGAGAAAATACACGTTATGCCAGATTTCTGGTTGTTGCGGCTGGATGTGTGGGAATGACCGTAACCAGGATACAAAGAGAAAGAGTTTCAGGTTTGAGTAAGAGGAAAAGGAGTTAGATTGGGGGCATACCAGCCTTGAGGCTGTGGCACATTGGAAGGGGGTTGGAAATGCAGGCTTAGTTAGTGCTCAGGAACAAGACAGAGCTGGGGATGGAGACTGAGGCACTCATGCTGGGCTGGGAAATAAATTAAGCAAGGACCAACATCCTGGCTTGACACGGATAGAAACTGAGACCCTGGGGGTTGCAGTGAAAGTGAAAAGCAGGTGTAATGGGCATACAGGAGAAACCTGGGTGCAAAGTAGAGCCATTCGAGATGATAAGGTCTGAGGTGCAGCACATTACTCAGAAAAGCAAAGTGAAATTTATGTGGATTGTCATTGGCCTTTGAACCGAAGCTTTATTTATGGATAGGTAGCATCAGCTCTAAGTGAAACGTAAATGCAGAAAGCGTTAAATTTTGATAAAGAACATAAAGACTGAGATTTAACAGATTACACATATGTAACAGGCTTGGATTGAAGCATATTGTAGTTGCTCATTCTTCCCCCTTTTCACAGGAATTCACAATGAACAACTACTTTTCTGTTGGACCTGATGCTCTCATGGCTCTCAATTTTCATGCTCATCGCGAGAAGGCACCATCTCTGTTTTCTAGCAGAATTCTTAATAAGGTGTGTTGGATAAAATAACATTTCCTGCTTATCACTGAAGGTACAGTAAAAATAGTTCAATTCTATCTAGCCCTCTTCCAAGTAGATTCAGATAGAACTTACTTACGGAAACGTTCACCTGCTCTGTTTTGTTATTGAAGTATTTTGTGGCTGTGACAAACTTCTCACAATTTGGAGAATGTTCCACAGCACATTCTGCTCCAGCAGCAACTAAGTGAAATTCACGATAGCCTATCTTACTTAAATGGCAACAAACATTGGAAAGAATTTTAGGCAGGCAGGATAAACTTTTGGTGAAGTCATGAACGAGAAAAACATAGATTCCTTTGGCTTCAGAAAGCTCCAAAATGCAGATGAAGGGAGAAAGGGAGCAGTTCGTTTGCCACGGCTTTTACCTACGCTCACCACTCTGACTCCTAGTACAAGTGATTCCTTTGGTGCAAGTTTCACTTTGGAATTGTTTTTTTTTTAATGGCTTTTGGTGATTGAGCAACAGGATGTAAAAATTTAATGCGAAGCGGTTTTGCTCCTGGTTTCAGTTTTACAAGTAGTTCACATTTACAAATAGTTACCTCTTACTAATATAATTACTAAGGCCGCAAGTGTTGCCGTTTGTAAAAGTAGTCATTAACATCTCAGAGCTTCCATCAACCTATTTTCGGAAGTGATTATAAGTGTCCTTTAGATGTGTCTCTATTCCTTTCATTAAGATTCCTTTCATTAAGTGATCTCAAGTACTAGGAAAAGGTGGAGTTTTCTAATTTTGATACAGTATTTCTTTATAAAATGTAGCTTTTTGGATAAACTGGGAGAAAGCACCATTTAGGCACATGCTACTGAAAAATGGGCTACTTCAGCTCGGAAGTAACACGTCCTTTTTCCCCAGGAGAACCTAGTCCACTGTAAGCAAGCAAGGCTCAATGATCACGTCAGGGATCGTTGCTTCAGTGTCTTATCTTGCTTACGAGCTCGTTAGGTTGCTTTAATATCCCATTTTCTGTCCATTTCTCCTAGGCTGTTTACTTGTTCTATGGAACCAAAGACTGTTTGGTACAAGAATGTAAAGATTTGAATAAAAAAGTTGAGGTAAGCTTTGAAAGTTTTAGGTGGTCTCTGGATTATAACCTTTTTTTAAGAAAAATGCTGAATATTGTTAACATATTTTGCTAACATACATGGAATGTTTATTGTGGTCCAGGCGCTTTACTAAGTGCTTCATACACATTATCCCACTGCGTTGTCACCACAATCCTACAAGTCAGGCACTACTCTGTTGCCATTATGCAGAAGAGAAAACTGTTTGAAATGAAGTAATTTGCCCAAAGGCACACATAATCAGGATTTGAACCCAGGTTTATCTCCCTCCGGTCTGTTGAACTGATACTGAGCAGATGACAAATGTGAAGCAATCTTCACGTAGTACCCGACTCATCATGGACTCTCAGAGGAAGTTTAAATGTAAAGTTTATATGACAATTGTGATGTGTCTCTCTTCTATACAGAGCAAAGTCGAGATGTAGGAGCAGGAAAAACAGAATATTAATGAGTGCTTGTCGCTACAGTATCCCTGATGTCATGATACGGCAAAATCTTGTGTATATTCCTTGCTTGCTTCCAGAAAGAATCTGTAATGGTTAACAGCACCAACAAACACATTAATACAGAGAAACGTAAAAACTAGTAAAAAGAATAAAAGGGCAAGAGCTTAGGAAGAGAGAAAAGTGAGCAGGGAGCGTGAGGGGCCTGATGATACGTATGCCGGGCAATTAGGCTGACGCTGAGCTCACACGCTTTGCGGCCACAGCGCAGGAGGAATGGCAAGATTTGCCATAAAAAAAGTTCCTTGCCCTTTATTACATTTGCTTCATCCTGGACTTTGATAACCTTGGCGGAATGGGCAAACATGCTAACGCTTTATTGTTTTGTGTGATATTTTATTTACACAAAAGTTATTTGTGAAGCCATACACGATGCCAGGCACTGTCCTAGGTACTGGGGATCCAGTGATAAATCCCTTGCTCTCACTGAGTTTACAGTGTAGAGGGAAAGAAAACATTTAAAGCACACTGCAGGATAGTGTGACAGGTGACATGATCAGGAAATGTTACAAGAATAAATAAGGGTAGTACATAACCCAGGGGCTGGAGAGACTGTCTAGGGAAAGTGACTGTAACATGTCTTTCTGAAAGAAGTGATGAGCTGGAATCTGAACATTAAATAAGAGATAGCTGAGTGAAAAAGAAGGTGGAAATTGTTCTCCACTAAGAAGCATATGTGCAGAGGCCCAGAGGTGAGAGAGAACATGGTGTATTCGAGGGAGCTCCAGCTGGAGGATAGCTCACAGGAGGGACAGAGCAGGAGCAGAGGCCAAATCTCAGAGGGGCCGTACTGGCCCGTGAAAGAACTTGGATTTCATCCTGAGCTCCAGTCAAGCGCAGAAGGGCTGCAGTCAGGATGACATATTTGCATTCCCTAAGTGCTCAATTTCCTGCTCTGAGAGCAATGAAGATGAGGAGAGACGGGCCACCTCTGCAGGGCAGAGGTGAGGGTGTGCTGGACTTGGGACTGTCCGGAGTGACGGAGAGGGGAGGTGCTTGAAAGTAGAGGGTAAAGGCGAGGAAATCAAAGATGACCCCAGGTTTCCGGCCCAGGCACCTGAGGCCCACGGGGGTGCTCTTTCCTGGGAGGTAGACAGTAGGGGCCGCAGGGAAGATGCTTTGCGTTAACCCAGTCTTGCGCCCAGCAGTTGCAGGTGCCACCACTGGTTGGAACCATTTTATGGGCAGTAGGATCCACAGATCTGGCCCGGTGCGCTGTCCTGGACCAGCAAGATAGAGCTGTCAGCGCTGAGATGGCAGTTAACGACATGGCAACTGGCTTTTTCCTCCGGAGTCTGCGGCCCGAGAAGAGAGAGGAGCCTAGAACGTAGCTAGAGGCGGGAGGTGGAACTCAGCAGTGACCGAGGAGGAACACCCAGAGGAGGAGGGTCTGACTCCCAGAAGGGAAGGGAGGGAGTAGTTTAGGAAAGGGTGTCGGGTGCCACTGAAACAGTAAATTGGGTAAGGCCTGAAAAAGATGAGATTAACAAAAACTGTGTCATTTTACCTTAGTTTAAAAAAAATGAAGTTGTTATAATTAATGTAATAACCACTGAACAGATGGGAAAGGCTGATTCCTGGGGCAGGGGGTGGGGGGGGAGCGGGTAGGAAATAGTCTTCTCTACATGTGTGTCTGTCACATCCTGTATGTGTGCGGATGGAGGTGAACCCTTGGTGGAAGTGTGCAGAAATAGTATGCCCTGTAGTAATTCACTACTTGCGTTTCTTTAAAGCTAGAACTGGATGGTGAGCGAGTAGAACTGCCCAATTTGGAAGGTATTATAGTTCTGAACATCGGCTACTGGGGCGGTGGCTGCAGACTGTGGGAAGGGATGGGAGATGAGACTTACCCTCTAGCCAGGTATGTACATTTATGATTGGGTTTTTTATGACACTGTTTTCTTTAAAGCAGTCTGTTTTGGGGGCGCCTGGGTGGCTCAGTCACTTAGGCATCCAGCTCTTGATCTCAACTCAGGTTATGGTGTCATGGGTTCATGAGATCGAGCCCCACGCCCAGCTCTGCACTGTCAGCTTGGGATTCTCTCTCACTTGCTCTCTGCCCCTCCCCTGCTCACATGCACGCGCGTGCTCTCTCTCTCTCTCTCTCTCTCTCTCAAAATAAACATTAAAAAAAAAAAAGCAATCTGGGGTGCCTGAGTGGCTCAGTTGATTAAGCATCCGACTTCAGCTCAGGTCATGATCTTGTGGTTCGTGGGTTCAAGACCTGCGTTGGGCCCCACACTGACAGTGCAGAGCCTGCTTGGGGTTCTTTCTCTCTCCCTCTCTCTCTCTGCCCCTCCCTGACTTGTGCTTTCTCTCTCTCTTGAAGTAAACTTAAAAAAAATTTTTTTTAGGCACTCTGTTGTTTATAGACTAATATTTTTTCAAATTTCTATTTTTGTATGTGTCATTAATATGAATACCTTATTAAATAATAAGTTGATTGTCCACCGCTGTGAAAAAGTATTTGTCTTAACGTGACTGATCTTACTTCATTGCATCACACAATCCATGTGTCCTTTTTCCAACTGTAGGCATGATGACGGTTTGCTAGAGGTCGTTGGAGTGTATGGGTCTTTCCACTGTGCTCAGATTCAGGTGAAACTGGCAAACCCTTTTCGAATAGGACAAGCACATACGGTGCGGGTAAGTGATATATTGCTCTGTATTTCATTGAGTCCCATTTCTAAGCCACTGATCCATAGCGAAAGAAATACACACTATAGCTTTCCAGAAACAGCGGTGCACAGGGGCACCCGGGGGGCTCAGTCAGTTAAGCATCCGATTCTTGATTTTGGCTCAGGCCATGAGCTCAGGGTTCATGGGATTGAGCCCCACCTCAAGCTCTGCACTGGCAATGCAGGGAGCCTGCTTCAGATTCTCTCTCTCTCTCTCTCTCTCTCTCTCTCTCTGTTCCTTCCCTGCTCGTGCACTATGCACTCTATCTCTCTCTAAATAAATAAATTAACTTAAGATTTTTTTTCTAAAAAGTAAATAAATAAACAGTGGCTTACACCCACACTGTCACTCAGCCTCCACCAAAGGCTTCGATATGATGGGGAAGAAACAAAGTGTTCAGTGGAAAAGAATCCCTTAAACAACTGATGATAAAGATATATTCAGATTAATTTTCTAAGAAGGAAATGCTCATAATTGTCCCTAGAAAAGTTAAGGGACTGTGGATGATATTACTAAGGAAGACCTTTCTGAGCTTCTGGGGACTTACTTGTTTCTAATTATCTGTTCCCTAATACCAGTTGATTTTGAAGTGCTCGATGATGCCAATGCAGGTAGATGGGGAGCCGTGGGCCCAGGGCCCCTGCACTGTCACCATAACTCACAAGACGCACGCACTGATGTTGTATTTCTCTGGAGAACAGACGGACGATGATATCTCCAGTACTTCAGATCAAGAGGACATAAAGGAAACCGAGTAGATGGATGAGGAATGAAAGTTTAGAATTCTCCCAAACAAGTAGATACATATTTGTCCAGGAGTAAAATTCTCTATCAGCTGTTTGGTCTTAATTTCACCAGTAGTAGAATGGGTATACATCTGTGTAAATAGCATTCCAAAAACAGCCAAATTGCCAGTTGTTTACAGATGCCTGTTCTTTTTTCAGCAAAATGGTCCCGTCATATAGTACTAACTTTACAAAGTCCCAGAGGGCTAATGACTTGCAGGTGAGATGTTTGTCATGGCTTGATGTGTGAGAGCAGGACTCGCTCTGAGGTCCACAGTCTCCTTCCTTATTCTTGAACACACATTTGATGGACAAGATGTAGGTGGAAGAATCATTGCCATCTTAATTCTTAATGTTGTGACACCATCCTAACATTTGAAAAGTTAACTTGCTTTTTTGAACGGAGATGACTGGTGTCCTACCCCCAGGGTTAGTGCGGGGCCTTCCACCGCGGCTGGCCCCCGAAGACTTCTCAGCCTAGCACTGTGTGGATCCATACGGATCTGTTTCCAGGAAACCTAAAAAGGAGAAGTGTTAAAGGAAGGCATTACTTAAATTTTTTATATAACTTTTAGGAGCAGATTGAGACCCCCAGATGTTGCTTGGTTAACCCTGTTAATGACCACGTTGAGCTGAAATTCAGCATCTCATTTATGACCCTGTGGAGCCAGAAGACAGCCACACAGTTGAATAGGTAACAGTTAACATTCAGAGCACTTCGGATTGAAAGTTTCCAAGCTAGACTGTTAACCAGTTTCTCCTGAGTAAGAGACAGTATCAACGATTGAAAAAAAGTACTACAGAAAATGTATTTGTCCTATTAGTTGCTCAAAAGAAGTTTGATAATGATTAGTAACTTCTAAAAGTTCAGTGGTCTTGTAGTATTTGAAGTACAGTAGTCTTTTATATCCAAAGTACAGAAATTCCCCTTGGGGAAACAGACAGAATCCTGTGCTAAAATGTTTATATCGTATTTATTTTAAAATGAGAGAGAGATTTTTTTTATTTATTTATTTTCTTCATTGTGGTATACTTGTGTTTAGTGTTTACAATATATGGCTTTATTTAATAAGTTAAATTCGTCACATAAATTCAGCTAGTCACAATCAGAAATGTAGCCTATTGACTAAAGAAGTAAAACCTATAACTTAATTTTCCTGGAATATCATCCAGATATTCTCATTCTTCGGAAATATTACTCAATATTTTTTAAAAAGAGGGAGAATGAAGCCACTGGCAAACTACCTTTACGTAACTGAAAGTTTTGTTTCATTGTTTTATTTGACTCTCAATTGCCAGAAACTGATTGAAGGGCTGGTCTCATGGTTCCCCAGTAGATGGCACTCTCCCGGTGTGAACCCGCCTGATCCCTCAGGCCAGTGAGGCACACCCTTGGGCCACCAGCCTGGTGTTTTCCTAACAAATGGCCCATTTGTGGGCTTGGTGGTCTTTCACGCCGTTAATCTCTGAAAGACGAGACTGTATCCCCCAAAACACCATTAGCTTCCTATAAGGATCTATTATGAATGTACCATCCGTGAATTGCCATTAAACTTAAATTCCATTCACCTTCAGGCCAAAGCCATGTTTTAAAGGAAAAACTTAGTAGTGATACAGTAGTCAGTGCATTATATAAAATACTCTGATTCTGCTTCAGTTAACCTCTTCCACATCTCAACAGGAGATGGTAAATTCTAGTATTGACAGATTTTGCAAGCGGATCTGTTTTCACCTTTTCATACACCTTTCATGGTAGGGAACCTGTCGCTATTGGTGGCAGAGTTTTGTAGATTTTCTTTTATGGACCGATCATGTTTTGAGTATAACGAATCTTATTCCTTAACTCATGGTCGACACTGTTACAGGTATCCCATTTTATAAATCTAGGCTACAATTTATCTTACTATAATTCCACAGTGCTAATTGTAGAATCAAAGTAAATAGTTTGGGATGCCAGAATTCAAATCATCAAAATAGCTAGAAAGCTTTGGTAATAACCATAATGTTACATCGGATCTAGAACAGGTTTATATACAACACCCTTGTTTATTTAAACAAATTGTTTTTTTCAATTTTCATAATCCCATGAGGCTTTTCCCTGCTGACCCTTCATGAAGCTTTTCCGTTACCTTAGTCTCAGTCATTCAGATTCATTTAGGAAACTTATTTTTGAATACCATGTCATCACACATCTTATTTTAGCAAAGTCCGTTTACTTTTTAGGCACATTTGTCCGGCATTTCAAATAAATGTACAGGCACGGGTCTTGTTTTCAAAAGGATAGTTTACACGACTCATGTTGCAAGTATATTCTAAGTATATTTAAGAGTCGCGGTTGTTGACATGACCAGTGATTCTATACTTTACAAAAAATCATTTGCCATAATATTTTCCTGTTCCATTTTAAATTGTCTTGACTAAACACGAAAACAAATTCTGTGTTCTCAGGAAGAAATACATAAGGCGAAGCCTAGCTCCATGTCTGTTTTCAGATTCCTCTCCCCCTTTACTGTCCTCCTACATTCCTAACCCCTTCAACTTCGTGGCTTAAACACTGAACACCTGGCAGCTCTTATGGACCCCATAAGTAGATGGTGATAATTTCTCAGTGCTTTTTATGTTGCGTAGAAGTCAAACTGACTTGTGTTTTAAAACACAAGTTGTCTGATAGTGAGGTTACACGACCTTAAATGGGTTTTAGGTTTTCTGCAGCAATTAGCTGGGAACCCCTAATGTAGCTACTGTTTATAAAAATTTTATAGTCAAAATTATTTATTTTTATTTTTTTAGGGTGTGTCAGAATGTGTCGTATTTGCTTTTTGAAATGTGTTTGCCTACTTCGAGTTGTAAAATATTCTGTGGCTCAGAAATTGTCAAGTCCTTTTTGCGTTGTAAAAATGAACACTACCAGCATGTCAAAAGAAAAATAGTTTGCATTTGTAATGTAAAGTAAAATTGTATTTACTGTATATTATGGAATTTTAAATTTGCACTAACTAGGAAACTGTAAAGGTTATGTTAATTTACAGATTCATGTGGATCCGAATACATCATTTGTACTTATTTGGCCAAATAGGTCAGTAGAATAGGTGATAGTTTTGTGTGGTTTTTCCTTGAGGTGATAACATTGAAGCAAGAACCAGCACTTTATACTCAGAATTGTTTTTAATTCTACCTGATTTGGGACAATGGAATGTAGGTCGATTTATAAAAAAAAATATATCTAGGAACTTAAAAGAGTGTTGTTACTGTGTCCCACTCCGAACGAAGGCATGTTCCCAGCAGCAAGACAGAAGTGGTTTTGCGCTTGCTTTTAAAGTATGCCCTATAGGGGCGCCTGGGTGGCGAGTCGGTTAAAGCGTCCGACTTCAGCCAGGTCACGATCTCGCGGTCCGTGAGTTCGAGCCCCGCGTCGGGCTCTGGGCTGATGGCTCAGAGCCTGGAGCCTGTTTCCGATTCTGTGTCTCCCTCTCTCTCTGCCCCTCGCCCGTTCATGCTCTGTCTCTCTCTGTCCCCAAAATAAATAAACGTTGAAAAAAAAAAATTAAAAAAAAAATAAAGTATGCCCTATAGCTTCCCCACATCTTCCCTGTAAGGCCTCTCTCCTCTTTATCAAAGTGTGATCTACCAGTTGTCTGCAGCGTCCGTCCGAATCACCTGGGGAGCTCTGATGCCGAAGGCCAGCCCCTGACGTCATGAATCAGTGTCTCTGATGGGACATAGACATTTCGTAATCCCATGAGGCTTTTCCCTGCTGACCCTTGGTGCTTTTATTCACAAGCACCTCGAGTGCTTCTGAGGCTTTTCCCTGCTGACCCTTGGTGCTTTTATTCACAAGCACCTCGAGTGCTTCTGATGCGCGCTGACATTTTTAAAGCGACTGGTCTGTACCTCATGCGTTTACCCAGGGCTTTTGCTGGATGGATAGCATGCAGGAAAATTGAATCAGATGTTCTTAAAATTGTTTTTCCTTCACTCCGCTAACTGCGTTCTTCCCCCACAAATCTCTCTCCTAAAGGAATGCTGTGAACGATTTGTTCATGTCCCCCTGTCCTATCCAAATTGATATATTTATCTGGACGCTATTACCTAAAAATTGGTAGCCTCCGATTCTTACATGGAAACGGGTTTTGAAACTATGATCTAGGGAGTCTTAGAGAACATGTGGTGCTCAGGGGCCAGTGGGATGGGCCCCCAAGGGGCTCCCGCTTTCTCCCTTCATTCGGTGCAGCCCCCCCACTGGATGCTGCTTAAGGTAAGATTTCAGCAAATAAAATTCTGCCTCTTTTTGAAAAAAAAAAAAGGATTCCATACTTTTTAAAAGGGTTTGGAAGCCACTACTCAGTGAATGACTCTGTCACCTGGTTAATTTTCTGCTGATTTTTACATATCCAGAAACCTCGTGTTTTTTGACAAAAAATATTTTGAAGGTCTTGCTGCTTGGAATACGACCATCTGGCTATTTCACAAGTTTTAAAGGCATTTTCTTTTTTTTTTTTTTTTTTTTTTTTTTTTTTTTTTTTGAATAGTAAAGCACTGGCTTAACCTCTGTTCCTCACATTTCTGATGTTAGTATAGAAATGGTCTGAGTATTTAGTTCATTTTAGTTAGTAAATACACATACACATTTCCCCCCCACGGCCCCGACTGTAGTCTGTGCCTGAGGCTTGCAGGAATGAAGGAGGTGCGTTCCAAGGATCTGGAGAAAGAATCCAAAAATGTCCCCCTCTCAAACAGAAGCTCACAAAACATAAATGATTGCACTTAGCCATCTGCAGAGAGGTCTGAAGAACGTCAGAGATCTAGAAGCTGTATTTCCTCGGTGTCTGCCAGGGCTTGGACTCCCTCCAGTAAAGGAAAGTGTCCAAGCAGAACGCACTGAGCAAGATAAGCCATCCGTAGTTTCCACCTTGTGGTGCTTTCTGGTGACCGATGTGGAAGGTTGAAAAGGAGAGCTGGGAAGTTAGGTTGCTGTCCTTGTTCCCCTCACACTAATCAGGCGACAGGGCATCTGTCCTATGTGCGGACCTCACCGTGTGTGAGAACATACCTGCAGGAAGGGCAGGCGGGGTATAGTCGGAGGACGGTGGCTCATCAGAGCGTGGGCTGCCCTCACTCTCCACTCTCGTTCTGGGCCCTGCTGGTAGTTTTCCTCTCGAATTTGAGCTGCTTGAAGGAGCCCGACAGATGAATGGGCGCTCTGATTTGTAATTCTATTGTATACGAGTTTCGAGCAGCCTGGATCCTCGCCCTGATCGCTCGCAGGTGAGCTGACTGAACTGGCTCCCTGGCCCACGGTGTGGACACTTGGGGTGGCTCCGCCTCCTCAGCCAGCTGGCCTCGCACTTCTCCCACCCCCATCCCCCACCAGGCCACACACCACGAACACCACTTAAGCACCCTGTGTTACTGAATTGCTTTTGTTGGGTTTGCTCCGTGTTGTGGTCGATGCCTACTGAGAAATGTGAATTAAAGCACTGATATGTGGAAAACCTTTGCTTGTTTTTTAATAAAAGTTAAAGTGCAGCACTCCAGAAAGTATGATCCCGTGTTGTTCTTTGACACAACGAGATGAAATGAGCAGCTTTGAGTTAGTTTCACTGAGTGGTCCTTGATCTACAGCAGGACGGAGAGTGTGGCAAGCTCTGGGTCTGGTACTTGTGACAGAAAGGAGAATAGAAAAAGAGCCCTACTGCGTGGCTTTTGCAGCCTGGGGCACAGAGTGTACAAACGAATGTATATCCGTTCTTGTCATTTTTATCCAAAAGTCCATTTTTATAATTTTTTTAAAATAAAATTTCACTGTCACTTGCGTACTTTTTATCTTAAGCAGACAATGCCAAACATGATGTACCTTTTCTTGATCATGAAGTTTAAAGATGAATTACCCTGCTTGGCCGGGACACCCACTGAAGTTCACAAGGAAGGCTCTCTGTATTAACTAAAGAACCCCAGACAGGTCCGTGTTTTGACTTCTTAGGGTTTTAACACATTTATTGGTCACTTGGGTCGTACGCTCGATGTTTTTACTTTTATCTCATAATCTACAGTGCTGCAAGTAGATGTTCTTGAGTCCATTTTACAGATTGTGAACTCGGGGCTAAAGGTTGATGCCAGGTCACTCCTGCTGTGTTTGCATCATCAACACACCCACCACCAACAGCGTATCCTATAGAAAGTAATGCGAGGTGTAGACAGACACGTTATTGTTCTGGGCACTGGGAATGCTGGGGTTTATGATAAGCCCTCAGAGGGACTCCCCACACAGGGAAACAAAGATGAATTACTTCTGGAAGGAGGTCGGAGATTTTGACGAGCTGAAAGCGTTACACATTGGCCATCGTAAGAGTTTAAATTTTGGGGTAGGGTTTTGAAGCTAGGAAATAGAAACAGCATTAATTAGTCTGTGAGAAAGCTGTGAGCTCTTGAAGGCTGGGAGTTTCTTTGGCTCATCTCTGCATTCAAATTAACGAGCATTTGCACATCGTTTGTTAAGATTCTGTTCTATGTGTTATATAGAACACCTCTGCAGGACATTACTCTCAGCCTCCCAATTTCCAGCACATGGGGGGGGGGGGGGCACTCCGAGGTCTCTGAACAAGTTGCTACACAGGCACAACCGTACAGCAGCCCAGGCAAACAGCATCCCTTTGAGCAGCTCCCGCCCCATTCCCAGGGAAGTGCCCCCAGCCAGAGACTCTGCCAAAGGGCCATGTGATCATTCCTCCCCTGTGGCTGATTGGACCCGGGGAGCCCGTCAATAGACCAGTAGCCAATCAGATTCTCCGTGGGGATTTGTTTTCATGGACTTCATGAAAGTACTTCAGTACTTGAAATCTGTACCAAAAGTATGGCCCACTTAGTTTGCTTCTAATCTATCAGGAAATAAGTGCAGCAGAAATTAAGAGTTCAGAAATTTGTATAGCTTTGGGGGCCCGGGTGGCTCAGTGGGTTAAGTGTCCGACTTCGGCTCAGATCACGATCTCCCAGTTCGTGAGTTTGAGCCCCAAGTCGGGCTCTGCGCGGACAGCTCAGAGCCTGGAGCCTGCTTCGGATTCTGTGTCTCCCTCCCCCACTGACACTGTCTCTTTCTCCCACAAAAATAAACATTAAAAAAAGGTGGGTTTTTTTTTTTCATCTTTATAGCTTATTTTGACAGTTGACTATTATTGAATCTAGCGATAATAAAATGTGGTTTGTATTTTGTATGTGTTTTTCATGCCATTTTTCTCTATTTTATAAAAATACCACTATATGATGTGTTGGAAATTTTTAAAAAGTTAAAATTAAAAACCCACCTTGTCCACCAGTTTTGAGAAGCCCTGCTTTAAATAAATGCTTGCTTCCTTCAGCAGAGGGGCTCCCAGGTTTGGTGAGTTTCCTTATCAACCAGCTCTGACTGAAATGTTGCAGGAGGCTTGCTTTAATTTGGTGATAGGAGCCGTACTTTATAGTGTCATGCGAGAGCTTAAGACCATGACTTAGGCAAGGGCAATGGACTCTGAACCAAGGAAACACGACGAATAAGAACTTGTCAACAATACTTCAAACAAACGAACAAACAAAAAAGGGTGGTTTTCACCCGGCTTCTCGTGGAGTCTGCCAGGACAGGGCTCCAACCTTCCCGACAGCTGGCCGTGACTTCCTCCTTGCTGACCTCCAGGCATCCTGTTAGAACCTAACTAACTGTAAAATTTTAAAAGCTGTAAAGTCTTCAAGAAAATGAAAAAGACAACTACTGAAGAACCTATCCTTTCAAGATAGGTTAAGACATGATGTAAACCGGAACATATAAACAGAACCATATGGTTTGGAATTAAGTGGCACAATAACTTAACATTTATAGAACATTCAATCGCTTATGAAGCAATTTCACGTATTTTATTTATTTTTCACAGAAACCCAATTGAGGAGGCAGAGCAGATATAATTTGTTTTCCAAATGAGTACACTGTGATTCAGAAAGGTTAGTGACATGCCAGGGTCTCACAGAGCTGGGACACCAGTCCAGTCTTGGGACTCCAAAATCTAATGGAGTTTGTTCTTGCTTTGTCTGTCACTAAGATACACCATCTTCTGTGTAGGTCAGGGTTTCACAGCCTGTAAGCAGACCTCTGTAAGAAGCTGGGTATAGTTACGGACACACACACAGACAGCGTGATAGTGGTGATCTACATGTACCGCAGAATTTTACAACCAACTTCAGGGGCCTCCTAGACTTAAGAACTTTTTTT